TTTAATAGTTATGCTGTACAACATTTAATAATGTTTGATAAAATGAACCACATTATGAAATATAGGGCCTTGCAGTTCTCAAACACAAGTCCTCAAAGCCTTGGATCCCAACTGTGCTATCATGAAACACTGCTGACTGAGTGGAGACGAATCACAAAACGGTGGAACAAGTCAGTCATGAGACCCAAAATGTGAACTCTGATTTCTGTCCATAGATGCTGCCAGACATGCAGAGTTTCTCCAGCAATTTCTGTTTTTGTTTCAGTCACCTTTGCTTGTTCAAGCATACCTTCTAATAGATCAGATTAGTTACAACTCAATATCATGCATCCCATGTGTCATGTACACCATCAAACATTCCATCAGCCTTCAACTGAAAGCATCAAAAATGAGACCTTATATATAAATAAAAAATCTAGAGAAAAAAATAGCCAATTGATTGACTTTGATTGCAATTGATTATATTACCTTGATTATATTATCATTGGATTCACCCTTAGCACACTGGTTCCAGACACCAATTTTCTTCTGACGATGCCAGATGTATAACACAGTGATTAACATTTATGTTAGAAAAATAATTAAATAATGCTTCCTAATAATCTACAAACTCACTATATAATTGCCTTTCCGTTCCTACAATACTGGTTATTTGCAAATACTGACCAGACATATATTTTTTCCAACCTTCAGCTCTCCACTTAGAATCATAATGCACAGAAGCAGCCATTCAGCCCATCATCCATATGCTACCCCACTTGCCAATTTTCTCTATATTATTACAAATTGAAGATTTATATTTTCCTTTACAGACTTGCTCATTGTGTGCTCACATATTGCCTTTTGCAATATTGTTTTTGTTGTAATTGTTCACTCATCATTCATTATTTCATTGCATAACTTATTCGTAGTTATTCATTGCTTTGGTCACCTGTCTTAGGTTTAGCCCAGCATCTGTACCTGCTGTCCGTAAGTGCTTTTGTATTCGGTAGAGGTCGTCTGCAGAAAAACAAACACAAACAGCAAGAATTAATGTTCTGAAGGTAATCAAAGATAATTTAAAAGCAGTCAAACATTGAAACAAACTGTGAAGAGAAGGCCAAAATGGCAGGGAAGAACTGAAATAAGGGTGCCTGCTGCAGTGTTCCAACAAATTTCAACACAAGCTGGATGAGCAAGACCTTATTTTCTGCTTCTGAACTTTACAGCCTTCAGGACTCAATGTTGAGTTCAACAACTTTAGAGTGTGAGCTTTATCCTTCATTTTGATGACAAACTCATTCTCTCCACACCCAGCTCCAACTCCACGTCTCGCGTGGGTTTTGCTGGTTTTGCCTGCAGCAGATCAGACCCATTTTCTCCTTTTTGCACTTATCATTGACACCTACTTTACCACCATTAGCACTCCCTTTTCCTTTTGCTCTAGGCACTCTCATCATCTGTTCTTTCCATTGCTCCTCCCTTGTTACTAGCAAAAACTCCATCATTTTCCAACCCCTTTCAGTTCTATAGAAGAACTACATTGGACTTGAAAAGTTAACTCTATTTTGCTCTCCACAGATGCAATCAGACCTGCTGAGGTTCTCCAGCATTTTCCATGCTTATTTCAGATTTCCAGCAGATTTCAGATTTTTGCTTTCATTAGAAATGAGGAATGGAGAAGAAATGAATTAAAATAAGAGAAGAGCCAGAAAAAGTGGAAGAAAAATTAACAAGGGCAAAGTAAAAGTAAAACAAAGAATACAAGTCCTAAACTCCAGAGTGAGGCCAGATCAGATACCTTTGTCAGGGATTCATTAAATAGAATGACACCAAGTTCTGCAGAGATGCATTCCATTTTTTTATTACAGGGAAGATGAGTCCTTCCTGTTCTGAGGAAGGGTCACTGGACCTGAAAGGTTAACTCTGATTTCTCTCCACCAATGCTGCCAGATCTGTTGAGCTTTTCTAGCAATTCCTGGTTTTGTTTCTGATTTCCAGTATCCACAGTTCTTTCGGTTTTTATTAAGATGAGTTCTTCCCTTCTTGCAGTCTTCCCTATGTAAAGTTGGCATGTGTGATAGATTACCCAAAATAGCCAAAAGATTCTATCCATTCAATCTTTATCATGAGTGGATTGCCACCTTAAAAAGACATGCCTTCAGAAACAGAAGACTCACCTACCTGTTTTCTTTAGCAGGGACAAAAAAGATTCCATACAGCTCTACACAAGAACACCTTGGAGCAGTCATCACTGAAGTGGTTTTTGAAAGTACTGCAAACATGCCTCATCAGTGGAAATGTCCTCCATCCCTGAAAATTAGGACAATGCTTGTGACTGTCCACTTCAGTGGGTAAAGCTTTCACATCACCATAATGGCAGCAGTACATTGCACATTCCAATTCTCAGAGTTACAGGCCTCTTGTGTAAACACACTTGGAGAGATGAAAGTGAAAAAGACAATTGCCTTGGAGGGTAGTTAATTAGGATGACAGAAAGGGTGGAAGACAAACAGATGCAACAGAGGTGTAAACAATGAATTTACAAGCAGTGAAGTGGTTGCAAGAAAAAGTTACACAAATTATTTTTATTTTGTTTGCATGATCAGCATCATAGGATATAAATGCATATTAAATATTTAGTGTGCAGCATTAACAATTTATCATAGAGAAAACAACAATATCAAAGAGTATTGGCACTGACAGTAAGCCGAGAGCAAGTCATTTTCAGCTTTTCAATTAAGTAAGGTGTATTGGAAATGAATGAGGAGGGGAACTAAAAGCACAAAAGACAATTGAATTCCTCTTTACAAGGGATCCAGTTGTTGCAGACTTCCAAAATAATTGAATCATATTGGGGGATCAGGGGCTTTATCCTGGTTTAGATCTCAAGGCGATCACCACCTCTGCTGTGGTTTGCCCCAGTGCCCCCCCACTGACCACTCTCACATCCCACCAGAAGCCTGGGCCAAGCAGAAATTCACATGAGAGGGGACCTCTATGACTGCTAATTTGATGTGGGTCTTTCCTCTAAAAGGGCAATTGCACCTGATTAGTTAGTCCCCGTAACATGAGAATTATATATGCACTGGGACATTCAAGAAGCATTTAATTCAGCTCTTGGTAGGTGTCTGAAATAAACCATTCAATTACAAACAGCAGTGTGCTTTCATGGATGGAGTCTAAAACCGTTATACCTCCAGGTCACATGCTATAGTAGAGTGATATCTCTTAAAAGTTATGCTGAATACTAACTGTGAGACATAACATAGGAATGGTCCTGTGATATTTTCTGAGACGACCACAACTTCTCCCTTATGGTATTTGCCATCCCCACCAGTATTTGGTACTGGGGAAGGGGTGTTTGAGGTAGTTCGCTGCCACCAATCCTCATTTGTCTTTGCTTTGTCTTGAGCCTCTCTGGTGCTTAGTGGTAGAGGATACACCACCAGAAAGGCAGTGATCTTAGATAATAAAAATGTTTACTGCATCATAACAATAAATACAACCACATTTGGTCAGACAGAATTACTCAGAACTTAGGGAACTGGTACAGTTGCAGCTTCTCCCTCCAAAATCTAGAACTACAACCCCTTTGTCTGCCACACACAGGCTATGTGTGACCTCAGTAGAATGTGTAGCGTCAATGTAACATTATACAACACCCCCAACCTCATGATAGTGATTGTGTAAAAGGTGAATGAAGATTCAGCCCCAAAACAGCATTCCAGAAAGTTTACTGCAGCTTGGAACTTTTATTACCTTGGGCCTCATAGAAAATTTAGCCAGTTTATGCCAGGGTCAAAGCAAGGAGAGTACAGTATGGAAAATGGCTAAATTTGTTGGTGGGCCAGGACTGCTCTTTCTCTTTCTCTTTTCCAGATGTTGACTGAGTTGCTGTGTATATTTTCAGGAATTTTCCCTTTGCAATTCCAATTTTTTGTATTTGTTGTTTTTTTCCTTTCCATGTCATTGTCTGTGAACTTCTGAACAGCCAGCCTCCATTTTGTGATTGGTTAATGGGAGTGGTTTCCTTACACAAGAAACACAATTTAGAGGCTTCATAGATCAAACAGCGAGGTGGTTATTTTTGACTGGCACAGATGTGATGGACTAAAGGGCCTTTTTCTGTCTATTGGTCTCTATAACTCTAAGAATCAATAGGCTCCATTTCCAAGTGATACACCTCTGTTACTGGCTGCTCCAGTCTGCAATCTGGAAAAACTACCACTGATAGGTGTTTGTGCTAGAATTATACATTCAATACGAGCTTAATTGAGTACGTGCTGAATGTATTAATATTCATCATTATAATTGCACCAAGGTGTCTGAAAACATGTCATCCTTAAATACTGTAATATCTGTGACATTATTTGCCATTTGGCTTTTGCACTGACAAGTCTTCCATCAACCATTTGAAGGTATAACCAATGCACAAGAATACACCATAAGGAATATTATTAGTCACAGCAAAATTCTGTGTTTTCATATTCTTTTATTTTATCATCAATGCAATCTTAAAGATAAAAACAATAGGAAGATCAGTCACTTCAATTTACGTATGCAACATTCATGTCATCAACTGGAACAATTAGCAATCCCCACTTTCCACCAATACATTCAACACACCAGAGTTATATTGATAGATAGATAAATAGATTTTTAAAAAGTTATATGATAGATAGATAAATAGGTTAAAAAACAGTTAGATGGATGAATATATAAACTGAAATGGAAATGTATGTCACTTGTTGCTGGTCAGCAGAGGCCTACGTTTCAAAGTCCATTGTATAAATAGACTGTATCCCTGTCCCTTGGCATCTTCAAGATGTCCATCCAGCTGCATCATAAAGGTTCATTGCTCCAAGCACAACACAATGGCCTCTCCTCTGCCAACTCTCCATCATCCACACCACATTCCTCGACCACGTCTACACTTTCCAGCAAAGTTATTGTATAGAATTTCATGTAAATTCAGAGTTTATAGGACACTAAACAATATATTGAGTGTTTTAAGGCTTTCAATCAGCACAGGTCTGACATGGCTGCACTCCATTCTCATTACATCCTGGGCACCGTATAGCTCGGAATGACTCTTTGAATCGGTTGGCAAACATTGAGAGTTTGCTTCCATGGCACAAAGAGCAGGGGACTGATCCTGCCCCACCGCACTGCAGGCATGCAGGTTCCGATTCACCGTCCTGAAATAAATTTAGGTCAGGAATTAGTTACAGACAGGTATTTTGTTGCATACAGGTAACCTTTTAATATGTGTAAGTGCTTTCTACTTCTTCTTATAGAGTCATAGAGTTGTACAACATGGAAACAGAGCCTTCAGTACAACTCGTCCATACCGACCAGGTATCCTAAATTAATCTAGTCTCATTTGCCAGCATATGGCCCATATCCCTCTAAACCCTTTCTATTCATGTACCCATCCAGGTGCCTTTTAAACGTTGTAATTGTAGCAGCCTCCAGCACTTCCTCTGGTAGCTCATTCCATACACCACTCTCTGCATGAAAATATTGTCCCTTAGGTCCCTTTTAACTCTTTCCCCTCTCACCTTAAACCAACGCCTTCTAGTTTTGGACTCCCCTACCCTGTGAAAAAGACCTTGGCTATTCACCCTATCTACATCCCTTATGATTTTATAAGGCTCTATAAGGTCACCCCTCAGCCTTTGATGCTCCGGGGAAACGGCCCCAACCTACTCAGCCTCTCCTATTGTCTGAAACCCTCCAAACCTGGCAATACCCTTGTAAATCTTTTCTGCACCCTTTTCTTCTATGTCTCTCTATTCCATTGCCATAAATTGAGCAAAACACCTTAAAAAAGATCTCTTTGTGATGCTTGTAGAAATGCTACTGCACATCTAGCTCCTGAGAATTATTTAAGTACGTTTCTTCCCATCTTTGCTCCTTCCACGTGGGGAAACATTTATTTCTTCACTATTTGATGACATAGCACTTTCCTTTGGTCTGCTGTTTAGTTTCTGTAATGCATTCCCTGAAAGCCAGCTTCCTTGAACATTAAAAACCCAATGAAAGATCAGCAACCTGAAATACTAACTCAGATACTGCTTGACCTGCTGACATGTCCAGCATTTTCTGTTTCGATAATCAGAACACACCTTTCAACGTCATTCCACGAATCTCAACAGGTTTCTCTAACTCTCCTACCATTACATCAGTGGAAGATCAGCAGAAATCTTAGAGTCAAGAGAATGAAAACCTCTATTAACAAATTCCACACTAACAGGATCATTTTCTCTTTATAATTTGTCTGGTTAGCTTAACACTTTGCTGTACTGGACTAGACCTGGACCTCAAATATAAGAATAGCATTGCGGGATATCACACCACTGATTTGCTAAGTGTCAGTAGAGGAACACATGTTTATCATTGCAAAACAGATTAGTCATTTATACCCCTTCTTCAGGGCTTCCATTCATATTCTCCTGAAGTTACATTAGGAAATCAGATCACTAATGTCAGATATTCCAATTCCTAATTATCAGAGTTCTGGGTTTATTCAGTGTAGATTGAGCAGGATGATGAAACTATAGCTTTGAGAACAGGTATGTGATACTGACATTATATTGGAACAGAAAAAAAACAATAAATAGATTTAATAAAAGCTATTAAAATCAAGAAGTGTTTTGATGGACTGATTATTTCTCTTTGTATGAGAGTTGATTAAAAGAAGCTACCGGTTTAAATCATCCCTTAGAGATTGAGGAGTGGAGTAAAATAAAATTTCTTTCCATAGAAAGTTAAAGGACCATGAATGCTTTTCCCTGGGAGAGGTTGAGGCATAGACTATCTGTTTTAAGCAAACAAGGAAAAAACTAAAAGGAAGAACGAACACAGAGGAATGAGATGTGCCATGGATTATTGTAGCAAAATGTTAGGGCTGACATAATGAGGGAGTTAATATCTTATGTGCTGTAAGTTCCAATATAATGTTTCATTTTATTTATTTTGATGTATGTAAGTAACCATAAATTGTACTTGCATCTCACACGGATTGTAACTTTAACAATTTGACGTATGTCATTTGTATTCTTAATCCTGTTTATCTGACGTAACACCTCAGATACCTGTCAGACACCTGTTTATCTGATGTATTAACTGCACAGAACCACAGAATTGTAATGCTGCAGAAGAAGATCATTTGGATAATTGTGCTTGCACCAGTTCTATTACCTAGTGCCAATCTTCCACCTTTTCCACATAGCCCTGCAGAACATTTCTATCCAAAAACCATCAATTGCCCTCTTACATGCCACTATTGAATGTGCCTCCATCACATTTCCAGGCAGTGTATTCCATATCCTAACCACTTTCAATGTGAACAAAGTTTTTTTTTCTCACTACACCATTACACAATATTTTAAATATTTGCCCTCTTGTACTTTTTCTCTTTTATGAGTGGGAACAGCTTCTCCCTATCTAATCTATCCTGTCCGCTCATGGTTTTGAAAACCTCTATCAAATCTCCTCTCAGCCTTCTTTTCTCCAAAGAGAACAGTCCAAACATGGCTTAGTTGATATCACTCTTGATGTGAGACACAAGATTGTGAATTTAAGTCCAAGTCCATGACTTGAGCATACAAAAGCAATATTAATTGAGATCCTAAAGAACAGCTTCATTGGTTCAGTGAGAAATTAATCATAATAAGGCACTGTGCAATGAAGAACGAATCTGCACCTGTCCATGACAACATTCCTACTTCAACCAGCAACACTAAAAATTGATTTGCAATTGACCAAATTGTTGCTGGTGGGATCTTCTGATTCTCAAAATGGCTGCCTGCCTTCCTGAAAAGCAGCAACCACTATATAATTAATTGTATGTGATATGTTTTAGAGCTGTGATAACATACTACATGTATGCTAATCCTTGTCTTAACATCTCACCTGATTCATGTTCGCTTTCTTCAAAGCAAGATGGTGAAAAGCTTACCCTATCAGCCACTGCTCAATATTATTGACTTTTACATTAGGCCAACAGAGGTTAGTTCCTAAATAAAAATAAATAGGACACAACAGACAAAAGAAAACAAAACCTAATTATCTTAGTTTTGTGATGTCTTATTCTTATATTTTTCCCACAACACAGACAAAAGGACCTAACATCACACTTTATAAGTTCTGAAACAGAATTATATGGTGACTTGTGATGGGCTGTTTAAAATCCTAACCTTCCCGATTCAATATCATGATGAAAATGAGCTTCTCTTTTACACGAATCTGTTTTGTTTGGAAACAAAATGAGAGAATCACACTTCGGATTCAACCAAGTTAGAAGTAAGTATTGAGACATTTATCACATAGTGATCAATCTTTCATGAGAATTCGGCATCCAACCCTTCTAGAACATTACCAGGCAGGACTTTTAATAACTTACTGAAAATTAAGGGATCTAATCTATTCCAATTAAATGACCACCAAATGGAATTTCAATTTACAAGATTATTATTCTACTCCCAAAGAGGAAGGTTAGATGAAGAATCAATTAACCCAGATGGATCAATAACCTGAACAAGTAGAGTGAGTATATTAAACATATATAATATAACAAAACTGATATCAATGTTGAAACAATCAAAATATTTCAAGCCTTTGAACATTAGGATTATTTAAAAAAGATCTTTTATGTTTTGTTAATTCACTGAATAATTTATCTTAAGACTTTCTTTAATTTAAATTAAGAAAGTCGTATAAAGTACCTCAGCTGTCCCTAACTGCTTTTCACTGCTTTCTTCAGCCTCTTCCTTTCTGCCCAAGTTTGCTGTATTTTCAGAGATCAGCTGAGTCTGGAGAAGTTTACTTATGAGCTTTCTCTGAGTCGGTGGTGCCTTTATGATCCTGAGGTTGCTTGTATAGATGATAATTTTTCCAAAATTCAGTATTGTTGACAACTAGGAATGCAGAGATATGTTGTATAACTTATACTGACATTGCACTACCACTGGCAATATTTTATTAATGCAAGATTATAGATTAATTCCTTGTTTGAAATGCTTTCAACAGAAAAGCACTCTATGTTGATAAAGTTACATCAGTTGTAATTACATATCAACTAGACAGCTAACGTAAAGACTAAACCATTGTCAAAAATGCTGCATTAGCATACAAAGTTTTTTTAAAAAACACAGACTAGAAGTGAAAATTACTGTTATGTTTAATGTTCTCGTATCAAGTTCCTCTCTCCACTTTTTTAAAGGAGACATGAGTCCTTTTAAAACCAAAGCGACAACTTATTGATTCTGTTTAAATAACAGAGTAATTTAAAATAAATATTCAAAGCATTCACATGATAACATTGATCATTATAATTTTCAAGCTATATCTGTAAGTTTAATCTTGACTACAGTTTGTATCAGGGAAATTGATTTTTATTGACAGCAACAAATTATTTCTTCAGAACCCATTATGTACAAAGAGGCTTCTTACAACATTTTACAGGGCAATAAAATTCATGTGGACATTGACTGTCTCTGGGTCCATGTATATAGATCGTTAAAATGTCATGGACAGGAGTAAAAACTAACTCAAACTGGCCAATAGAATACTGACCTTCATATTGAGGAGATTACAATACAAGGGTATAAAAGTCATGTTCCAGCAATACAAAAGCTCTGATTAGACCATGTTGTGAGATGACTCCTCACCATATTGTCTTAGCTACTGGGTAGGAAATGCCACCATCCTCTTTCCTGGTTGGGACCTGTAGAGTACCCTTGGTCTAAATGGTTGAAGGAAAACCATTTAGTATTTTAATGAGAATAGGCTCTTGTGTTCCACAAGATGTGGCTTATTGCACAATAGTAATGATGTACAAGCTACGCCGATGTGACTGATGTTTTATAAAAACTATGAGAAAGACCAAATTGGTAGCTCTCCCTCCACTCAGGTCCTAAGCTGTTCCATATGACATTCCACAGAGAGTGGTGTTTAAATCACTCAACAACATTAACCCTTTCAAAATCTTATACCCCAATACAACAGACTGCACTTAAAATACTTCAGCAGTTCTAGCTAGCACACGTTAGGATAGTTATGTTGACCTTGGATTGAATGCAATTTAAATTTACCAGAATTATACATTGATTCCAAGGCAAAAATTACAAGGATAGAGAACACAAACTAAGGCTGTATCACCTGTAATTTTGATGATTAAGTGATGACTTAATCAAAGTCACCAAGATATTTGTGAAAAAGTGAAAATATTACTGCTGGCTGGAAATTTAAGAATAGGGAACATAGCCTAAAAAAACACAGTAAGGTCTATTAGAAGTGTAGTTAAGAAACCTTATACACAAAGTATATTAGAAATGCTGGGTCAATTGAAAATTTTAATGTGGAAATTGATTGATTTTTTTAAATGAACTGTATGGATGGCCAAGGTGAATAAAAGGGCAGCCACAGATGGTAAAACAAAAGGATTAGACAATGACAGTGATCCATGTCCCAATAATATTTTGAAACAAAGAGGTTAACAGAATCACAGAAGTATTATGACGTAAAAGAACGACAATAGAACTATTGTGCCTGCACTGGCATTAAATGAGCATCATTGCCTCATGCCAGTTCCCTGCGTTTTCCTCATATCCTTGCACATTATTTTTATCTAAATGATCATTTAATTCCCTCTTGAATGCTTCAACTGAATCTCCCTCCACCTCATTTCCAGGCAGTGCATTCCATACTTTAAGCATTCACCAAATATGAAAATGTTTATCCATACTTCATGCTTGTTCCTTTTGAAGATCAGTTTAATCTACACCCTTTTGTCCTTGCTCCTTTTACAATCAGGAACAGTTTACCATTAGACTACTCTATCCAGCCTGCTCATGATTTTGAAAACCTCGAACAGAAATCCTCTTAGCTTCTTGTCTCCAAGGACAATAGTTGCAACTTCTTCAAAGTACCCTCATCCTTGAAGTTTCTCATCCCCGGAACCATTGTTATAAATCGCTGCTGCACTCTCTTCAAAACGTTCACATCCTTCCGATAATGTGGCATCCAGAACTGTACACAGTATCCCAGATGAGGTTTAACAAGTGTCTTATATAAATTCAACATCAACTCTTTCCCTTTGTCCTGTATGCCCCTATTAATAAAACCAACAATGCTTCACTTACTGTGCTCTCTATCAACCCTGCCACCTTCACTGATATGTGCACATATACACCAAGGTCTCTCTGCTCCTGTACACCCCATATTTTGTATTGTCTTTCATTGTTCTCCCTACAAAAATGCATCAATTCACACTTCTACAACGTGCACTTACTTGCAGTCTGCTTATTAGACTGGAAAACCTGAAGCTATTGTGGCTGTATGGGAACTTTTTGCACAGGAAAGTGGATAACCATGTAAGTTGTAAAGCAGAAACCTAAAGGATGGTGTATTATCACTCTGAAACTGGAGGGAAACTGGAGGAATGAGCATTGAGGAAATGCTAGATGAGCTTCTGAAGGCTGCATGAGAAGACTCTATACTCATGATCCAGGTAGGTGTGAATAGCATAGGAAGCAATAATAATTGACTCAAAAGAAATACATCATAGGAAAGGAAGTTATTTATCACAGAGCTCAGAAACTGACAAAGGAGATTGGTCTGGTACTAACAGTCATTAGTGGGATTGATGATCACTGAGTGTTCCGAGTGGAGTAGAAACTAACCAACATGAGAACTATAGGCCTATTAGCTTCAATTCAACATTGTACAAAATATGAAATTACTTATCAATTAGTAGAGAATTATCTGTTTGATAATCCAGTAGACAACAGCAATCGATTCAGAAAGTACAGATCTATGGAGCAGAAGTAGGCCATTCATTCCCTTGGGCCTGCTTTACTATTCTAGGTCATGGCTGTCTCAATGCTTTATTCCTGCATTATCCCCATATCTCTTGATGTCATTACGGACTAGTAACCTATCAATTTCTGTCTTGAACTTCCTCAATGACTGGCTTTCACCACCATCTGGGTCAAAGAATTCCAAAGATTCACCATAGTTTGAGCGAAGAAGTTCGTCATCATCTCAGTCCTAAATGGTGAGTGTTTTATTCTCCTGGTTCTGGACACCACAACCAGTGGCAATATTCGTTGTACATTGACTTTGTCTAAGCCCTCTAAGAATGCTATAAGTTTCCATGAGATCAGCTCTTACTATTCTCAATTCCAGAGAACACAATCTCCTCAATCTCTCGACATAGTGCAATCCTACCATCCCAGGAATCGGCCTGGAGAATCTCTACTGCATTCTCTGCAATGGCTAGTTCATCCATCTGTAGGCAAGAGAGCCAGAACCACACACATTAGTCTGGGTGCCATCTCCACACATCCTGCCTGAACAAACTCATTGGCTTGGTTGTTGAAATGATGTCCCATTTAGACAATAGAAAGTCTCATGATAGTGCATAATTTGGCTTCCAAAAGGTGCAATGTAAACACCTCTTGCATATCCTAATTTAAAATGTGCTTTAAAGGGAGCATCAAATTCAAATCAACAAATTCATCGAGTCAAAGTGGAATGAATAACTTACCTTGGAACGGGTTGCAGTCAGGTCAGTGAATAGGTTCTGTTCACCTGTCATACTGTACCTATCTCCATCTCTGAACACATTTATTCTCTGTGCTAATAAACGTGTTGAAGAAGGGTAAGCTGGGTCCCAGCATTCCTGTGCTACAGCTCGGCTGATTTCATATCTCTCACTCCGTCGTGTTTTCAATGACCCATGGTGGCCATCGTCCTCAGGTTCTTCCGACTCTGACCCATCATCATAAACCTGCTTCAGCACACGACCACTGTAAGAAGAGGAGATCCGGAATCTAACTTTCCTGGGCTTAGGTTCACACTTCTTACTGAACTTACTGCAGAGTTCCTCCATTCGCAATGTAACTGCAGAAACGTCTGATTAAGAAAAGTCCACAATCTGCCTAGAATTTAGAACTAATTCACAGAGAGTGCTGTAGCTTCAGCCGCCTCTGTTCTTTCGCTTCCTTGTAATGTATAATTCAGTGATGAGATCATTTGTACGAGGCTGACACCACCCTAATTAAACAATTACATGAGTGTGTAAGTATCTACAACACTGCAAGGCAATTTATCTTAGGCAGCAATTGAAAAAATGTGTCTTTGCTGGAACTGTACTATTACATTCATTTTGTTAATTACATACCTGAATACACACACTTTGGCTGCAGCACAATACACCTCTGTGTGTGTGTGTGTGTGTGTTGCATTAGCAACATTGTTCTTTTGTGTGGATTTGGGTTTTGTATTTTTCCACTAATCATTGTTCTCTGCCTTTATTGAAAGCTTGACTTAGAGTAACAGGTGCTGTCCAACATTTGGACATGTCTACAAATTTTCATTTGAAATCATTTATTTTCTTTGTCCCTCCCCAGTCCATTTTGATCGATGCCATTATTGTTGCTCATCAGATTAGATTTTGAAACCATGTAGCAATGTAATATGGGTCATTGTGAGTTTATAGTTCATTTAACCTCTTTCTCTGAATTCTTTTGTAGTCATTGGAAGTAAAGACCTGAAGAAATGACAAGCGGGCAGCCGATTATGTGATTGACATTATAAACTAGACCTTCTTGACATGTCTGCAGCCTCTAACATGTAAAATCACACAACGTCAAACCCTGCCTCAATGCATTTCTTGCTAAAACCATCATTCATGCCTGTTGCTAGCTCTAGGCTTGGCTTCAGACAGTCAATTAGCTCTGTTAACTGTATGGTTGTGTGGGGAGGAACAGAATATAATCAAAGTGTGTGTTCAAGCCCTGTACTGTTTGAGGTGGTTCTTGGGGTTGACATCCTCACATTACCCATTGGGATATCATGATATAAACCATGATGTTTTATATTCACCTGTGGGGTGAGGATGCTGCTGGCTGAGCCAATTTTATTGTCCATTCCTATGGGCCCTTGAGAAGGTACACTACTGCAACTACAGACAGGCAATAAATGCTGGCCAGCCAGCGACACCCCACATCCCATGAATGAACAAAAAAATGCAGTGGTAAGCTGCCTTCTCCAGCTGATGCATTCCATATGCTGTTGGAAGTCCCACAAAACCACTGGGGAGCAAATTCCAGGATTTTGACCCAGTGACAGTGAAGGAACAGCGATATATTTTCAAGTCAAAATGGTGAGGGGCATGGAGAGGAATTTGCAGGTGCACATGTTCCCATGTATCTTCAGCCTTCATCTTTCTATGTGGAAGTGGTCATGGGTATGGAAAGTGCTGATCTTTGGTGAATTTTTGTGGTGTAGTTAGTACACACTGATGCTACTGAACATCAGTGGTGGAGGGAGTGGATGTGTGTGGATGTGCTGCCAATCAAGCAGTTTACTTTATCCTGCATAGTGTCAAGTTTGGAACTGCACCCATCCAAGTAAGTAGGGAGTATTCCATCACACTCCTGACTTGTGCCTTGTAAACGGTGGACAAGCTTTGAAGAGTCAGAAAATGAGCTACTTGCTTCAGGATTATTAACCTCTGAGCTTGGTCTTGTAAACACTCAGGTTATACAGTCCGAATCAGTTTCTGGTCATTGGTAACCTCAAGATGTCGATAATGGGGGATGCAGCGGTGATAACACCATTGAACGTCACGGGAGGCAGAAGAATTGAGATGGTCATTACTCAACATTAGTGTGGCATGAATGTTATTTGCCACTTTTCAGCTCAAGCCTGGAAATTGTCCAAGTCTTACTGCATTTGAACGTGACCCGTTTCAGTATCTGAGGAGTCATGAATGGTGCTGAATATTATGCAGTCATTGGCAAACATCCCAGTTTATGATGAACAGAAGGTCATTAATCAAGCAATTGTAGATGGTTGGGCCCAGGCACTACCCCGAGAAATACCCACAAAGATGTCCCGTAGCTGAGATGACTGACCTCCAACAACCACAGCCATCTTCCTTTGATTCCAACCAGTGGAGAGTTTGCCCCTTGATTCCCATTCCCTCCGGACTTTCTCGGTCTCCTCAATGCTATATAGTCAATTCTGGCCTTGATGTCGGGGGTAATCTCACCTCACCTCTGGAATTCAACTCTTTTGTCCATGTTTGAACCAAGGCTATAATGAGGTCAGGAGCTGAGTGGGCCTGATGGAACACAAACTGGGCGTTACTGAGCAGGTGCTGCTTGATAGCATGGTTGATAACACCTTTCATCATCTTACTGATGGTCAAAAATAGATTGATGAGGTGGTATTTGGCTGGCATTGGATTTGTCCTGCTTTTTGTGCACGGGACATACCTGGATAATTTATCACATTGTCAGATACATGCAAGTGTTGTAGCTGTTCTGGAGCAGCTTGGCTGGAGGTGCAGTAAGTGCTGGAGCATAAGTCTTCAATACTAATGCTGGAATGTTGTCAAGGTCCACAGCCTTTGCAGTATCTAATGCCTACACATATTCCTTGATATCAAGTGAACTGAATCAAATTGGCTGAAGACTGGTATCTGTGATGCTGGGGACCAGTGGAGGAGGCCAAGATAGATCATCCACTCAGCACCACTGGCTGAAGATTGCTCCAATTGACTTCAGAGCAATGATAAGCACCAATGCACCACCACATGAAAAGAAACTCTGTTATCCTACTCCTGCCTTTTGACCTCATGAATCACTTCATGGAGGATGGCTGCCCTGTTGAAATGGGTACTTTCCACTTTGCAGAATCCTGAATCTCCAAACCCAACTGTTTCTTGTTGCCCATATCCTGAACCTGTGGGCATTTGTCATCCCACCTCATTGGTTGTTTCCATGGGATCGTATGCAGCCCATTGTTAATCCATGTGATCATATTCTTCTACTCAAACTGCCAGCAAATCTCTGCTGAACTGTGTAGACTCTCGACTTAATCACATTGATTAGGTTGGATACCTGCATTCACCCCTTGAGATTGCTTTACTGGTGAACACAATATGATCAATTTCCCAGTCATACTCCCGGAGTATTTTCCTAACTTGGCATGGGCCCTGTCACTAATATTGATGATTCTTCTTGGAAGGTAAGAAATTAAACATGCTACTTAAACTTGTCCTTTCTCAGCATCTGATATCAGATTTGAGTCTGCTAAAATGATTCCTTCCTGTTGTGTTGTTATCTGAATAACTTCAGTCAAAGAGCTCCAATGGGATATACCACTCACTCGCTTTCTATCATTGGCATCTTGTGCAAAACATACTGTTTCTTGCCTTCTGAACTTCATTCAGTGATGATAAGAGATGAAAACATTTTTGCCAACCTGATGTAGCCACATGTTTCCACCCTGTTGACAGAATGAAATAATTCTCTTATGCCAACATAAAAATCTCAATGGATTCGATCCTTTTGGACCTAATCAATGAGTTGAAGTCGAGAGTCTACACAGTTCAGCAGAGTTTGCTGGCAGTTTGAGTAGAGCTATGAAACGTTCTAATAGTTGTGCATGGATCAGTTGTTCACTATATGATATTTCCTTGACCCCATGCTTCCTTGAACAGTTGTAGCATGACTGGCTGTTTCTTGGCTAGTTGTCTATTGATTGTAATTAGTTTAACTTCTTCCACAACTTGAAGCAGATTAAGGACAAGACATGTACCTCAGCACAAGAGTAAGAATTCCTGTTTGTAATGTTCATAAATATTCTCTATTAACTCACACCTTGTGCTAAAAATTTGCTTGTAGCTTTAATCTTAAAAACTATACCTCCAATGTAATTGCACTGTTATAGGCTGTAGCTATAATTTTCAGCCATGGTGTACAATCCAAAAATATAATAACCCTCACACCCTATCAGGCTAAAAATTACTAAGATGCTGATTGACATAAATATCTTGTTGACAAAGTATTTGTCTTGGATCACTTTTTTTTCTCCTAGAAATACCTTTGACTCTTCATCCCTGATCACAGAATTACAGATTTGTTACAGTGTAGAAGAAGGCCATTTCACCCATCACGCCTGCATTGGTTAAAAACCGAAAGCACTGCGGATGCTGTAAATCAGGAACAAAAAACAGAAGTTGCTGGAAAAGCTCAGCAGGTCCGGCAGCATCTGTGAAGGAAAAAACAGAGTTAACATTTCGGGTCCGGTTCTCAGGAAGGGTCACCGGACCCAAAACGTTAACTCTGTTTTTCCCTTCACAGATACTGTCTTGAGCTTTTCCAGCAACTTTGTCTTATGCCTGCATTGGTTCTCTGACCTAGTGCCAATCTCCTGCTTTTTCCCCATATCCTGGAACACATATTTCTATCTAATGCCCTCTTGATTGCCTCAGTTGAATCAGTTCCCACCATGTTTTCATGTAGTGCATTCCATACCCTAACTACATGGTTTGTGAAAATGATTTTCTCTTATATAACTTTTGCTTCATTTATGCATCACTTTAAATCAATGTCCGTTTGTTCTTTATTCTAAAGCTCAATTTTCTCCAACCATAACCCCCACTCACAGACAGACACAGTTAATGGGTAAACTAAAAATAAAATAAAAGAATTGGAATTTGCCTGTTCAATATACAGCTTCAAACGATGGCTGTTCACAGGTGAGTAGAACTGTATATCTTTCCTGAATTCTGAAGTCACTAGATAATGCAAACAGTTTCAGCAGATTTCTAAACATGTTTACTTATTTCTTACAGACTGGGATAGCTTTCCTCAGAACATTCAACAATTTGATAACACAACAGAAAAACTATAGAGAGAGCAAAACATGGCAGCAGCCTTTGGAAACTTCCAAAACTTATACTCCCGCCAAAAGACCAAGTCAGAACCAGTTTTTCCTCTTTCTAACCAACATTCTCTGTGGTTGGCTGATTAGTACTGGGACCCCCTTGATTGACCAGTTTAACACTCAACCAGCTGCCAGCCTGAAGCATAGTAA